GATCGTGACTGACTGACTGACTGACTGACGCTAATTCTAACCATGTTCTAGAAGGGTTAGAAATCTGAAACTTGGTACACATGTACATTTTGGGATGCAGAGTTCAGAAAAAATCCGACTTTGGAGGTACATGCCCTGGGGGTACAAATTTTGGGGGAAACGTTTTTCTTAAATATATTTTGTGACAGATGAGGATGGCATTCAGAGAATACACAGGGCGTGCCGGGTTCGGTGGTGTATCAGGAGCGTCTCTGACTGGCAAGCGAAAGGTCTGGGTTCAATTCCCGACCATTCCTTGGCTTCTTTTGACTTCCAACTCCGTTTTCTCATTCCCCCTCCATAACTTTATTTTTGCTTGAGTAAAACGAAGAGACATGGAAAGCTGAAACCTAAACATGGACGTGCCTACTGAAACGATGCGTTCAGGAAAAGTGACATTTTAGATCCATGCCCTGGGGGGATTTTTTTGGGGGCCGACGTTTTGAAGCATTTTTTCTGTCCTGGCGTGTTGAGCTAGTGTGGAAAAATGAAACTTGGTACATAACTACGTCTTGGGATGCTGTAGAAAAATTCAGTAAATGCCCTGGGGGCACAAATTTCAAAGGGATTTGTTTTCAAATAATTTTTTTTTGTATTAGGTAAACTGATGAACATGGAAAGCTGAAACTTGGCATGAATGTGACTACTGAGACAAGGAGTTAAAGAAAAATGTTAAGTCTTGATACATTCCCTGGAGGGGAAAAGGTTTTGACGGGGTAAATTGGACAGAATTGGAATGGTGAAACTTAGCACACGTATAAGTGACATGATATTGAGTTGAGGGAGTATTCAACTTTCATGCTGTATCCCCTCCGAGCTTAGTTTTTGGGTGGGTCGGCTCTTCCAAACATGTTTTTTTCACCAGCGAAAAGGGCAAACGAATAATATTGAAAGTTTGTGGGCATATAGTTCACTGAGGATGGATTTGAGTAAGAAAAAAAAGAAGAAAAAAAAGAATAGTACTGCTCAGTTAAAACGCCTCAGGGCACATATTTTGCAAACGGCGTATTTTCCCGAAATTTTATTATCTAGAGAAACACAGGGCGGTAGAAAGTTTAAACTTGGCAAAGAATAACGTGTGGATAACTGAGGAAAGAAAAAAGTATTATTTCATTATATATAGACGATCGTGAGTAGCTAACTGACTGGCATAAGTAGTTATTCGCATGGTGAGTTGATGAAAAATTCTACTTTTAAAATATTTCCCATTAGCGAAGATTATAGGGGGGAAGTTTTTCAAAATGTATTCTCCACCCTTACAAAAAGGGCATATGAAAAGATTTCAAGGCACACTAGAAATCATAGAAATAATGATTTTGATTAAAATAAAGACTTTTGTTCCCATATATCACGTATTTCAATGGGGACGTACTTTAAAGACGTGTTTGCCATTTCGCAAAGAATGAATGAATTAATCATAACCCAAGGTAATGCAGTGCCGAAGGCGCGACCATAGCGAGTTTGTTTGCCCGAAGGGCAAACAAACTCGCTAGTACTATATACATACTATGTACATCCCCTTAGTGGTTTGAAATTGAAGATGCCTAGGGTTTCTTGCTCAAGAAATGTGGATGTGTTAAGGAAGCGCTTCACACCACAGACTCAGCTGATTTTTTGTAGTAAATGGAGGACGATGGCAGCTAATTTCTAGTTATATATCCGTACTGTAAAATCAGAGTTGGAGGCACGAAATCAATTTGTTCAACTTCTTTGCTCCAGATATAGAAACTGTCCCATTGTTCGCTGTTCCCATTTCGATGTCTTCATGGAAAAAAGTTTGTTTCCTTTTTTTTAAGTAGAATAAGTTTTCTTTCGTCATCTATTGGATTCAATCAGTTCTTATCCTCCTGGATTAATCAAATGGATTATGAATGGGACTGAAATCCTAGCTACACCTATTGGACGAGGGTATCCTTTATTGGCCGGGAGGAAGAGCACCTGATAATTTGCTTCGAAGATGCTTTGAGTGACCGGAGGGGAATATGGTCATATTTTCATTTTTTCCCATATCACTTCTGCCGCGAGAGATATCTCGAAAAATCAAATTCATTGGAAATATTGGTCTTAGAATGATACTCACTCTGGCAGGAGAAAGTCTCTGTCTTCCTAGATGTGTTTACATTACCAGCATTTGAAAATGTAATAGCTTCCATTCATTGCATCATGCGTGAGTGTTATAGTGCATCCGTCCGAATCGCGGTTTGTCAGATCTATGCGGCACCAGCCTAATGAGGGGCTAAAAGGGTGAGAAGTAGGAAGAGTCAATCTAATTAGCAACCCCCGAACCCAAGGGGGACTCTGCTCTTTTATTTACAGATTTTATTTTTACACAGAAAAACCTCTGGAACCTCAAACGACCATGTCATTCAACTACTTATTCAGCCCAAAACGAAATCTGGAAAATTGAAATATTAGCTTAGAGAAATAAGAAATTAAATGTTGTTGGCGTAATCGATCAGCCCCAGGGGGGGGGGCTATTCGGTCACATGTATTCCGTGTCAGTGTTTGCTTTATTGCTCCATTGCAGGGGTTAATAGGTAAAATAAGAAATACTTCCCAAAGCGCAGGTTGGCCTATCGGGACCAAAAAGCCCCACACCACACTATACTACTGTGCTCTTTTATTTTGGGGGGAGGAGGGGAAGAGGAGGAGGAGGTAAGATACTGCCTGCCTGCCTCATATGGGGAAACGTATTTTTTAGGATATTGGGAAGTTAAGGGTTGAAATGAGAGGCAGTTCCGCCACTGGTTTCCTTTTTCACTCCACTTATCCCCTCATTAATAATATAGTTTTCCATTTCATCCCAGAGCCGTTTGGCATGCTAATGTCTTCCTTTGTTTATCCCGCTTCTCTGAGGATTCAACTGGATGCACTATATTTAGGACATTCTTTTAAGCGCCTAGCAAAAAAGCTGCATGACCATCGGTCGATTTGTCGCTCTATCAGGCGAAATGCCATTTGAATGGAAGCTAATTATTAGTGTGCCTGACTTTAACATGGCGTTTGTACTTTCTTTGTTGCCCGATACATTTGACAGTACTACTTGAAGTAATTAAGACACCTCCCGTCAAGGTAATTGGAATATTCGGATGGTGACTGTTCATATTTATTGCAGATGCCAACAAAGTTTGAGGAACTTCAACAGGCAAATATGAGACTTCTAACATATGCAAGACCTGTTTTGCATGGTTTCATTCATGTCAGGGTGGCCAAGCATGAGAGCTAATCGCGGGAACTTTGAACTCTCTTTGAGAAATTTGTTTTCTTTAGTAGTGGGGAACCATAATGCATACTTTCCTGTTCGATTGCTTTGCAAAAATTTTCTTGTTGAGTGCTTCCTCTCATTCACTGTCTAATCGTTCATTTGAATGCTGGGTACCATCTCAGAATAAAATGGAAATTGATGTGTGGGGTTCTTTTAACGGAAAATAATATTTCTCAATTAATTCTCCTCTAATTGTTCAAAAGTTATATGCTCACGAAAAATTTCAGAAAACTTCACCTCCCATGGGAATATGGGTATACTGAGTAACCAGAGCTGGTTGTGGCTTATACGGTTTGGTTTGTTTCAGTACCTGGATGCGAACGGCATCCACCTCCTTCAGGCGCATCCGAGCCTCTGCCAGCTCCTTTTCCAGATGGACCATTTTCTGGCGAAACTTTTTAAACTGTAATTAGAAATTAATAACATATTGATATGAACAAAAAACTGAATTTAATGGGCATTGGAATTTGAGACCTGAAGTCGGCGCTTATAGGATTGTGTCAGGTGACTCTTCAGCTTCTTTTCGAGGTTGCATTTATCGCGCTTCATCTCCTGGCGCTCTTTCTGTAATCTCTTTTTCACATTCATCAGAGATTCCTTGTGGATTGCCTTCTCCTCGGCCTGTGCCTGAAGTAGCTCTTGAAGTTGCTTCTCCAACACACTCTTCTCAATCGCCATCTAGCAAATTGCTCCCAGGTATCAAGGGTATCAAGGTATCAAGGTAGGTTTGTGGTGTCAAGAGGCAATAACACCCATTTGGATACCACGTGTCGAAGTCGAGCGTTCTTTATTTTAGGATAGGCCTACTTCTCTTAACGCTAAATATTTTTGTATTTTTATTTTTAAATATCTTTTTAAATAGCATATCCCAGGTAGCACACTTATTGACTCTTTCATGTTAATACTACGTCAATATGATGAGAATTTCATGCATGTTGAAAAGTTTGACATGACTATTGATGTTGCTATTTTCGTAAAAAACTTGACATGTATGTAAGTCACATCAACTTGATGTTACATTTAATGTATATATTGACGCTCATGAGGACATACACTTTTGACAAGTTATTGATACGAGGACCTTGTAATTATCACCATAAAATTGACATCACATCCACAGGTCCATCGTGAGATTTTGTGAGACAAATTATGAGGTCACTGTGAATGAAAAATTCTCTGACAAACTCCTATTCATGTAATTTTCATCAGCTGAAGCTGAAATGGTAAAATGCTCACTAAAATATGACACGCATTATGAACTGCGGATAACAGTTGAACGTAGTTACAGGCGGCCATGGTACCCTGAACTCGAAAGTGCTCTTCTTGCAAGGCGGCATATCCGGTTTGGAAGCCTTGCTTTCAGATGGATGCAGGACTCGCTCAGTGGTAAGATACTTGTGAGCTGCTCTAAGATATGAAAGTAGCTTAGTAAGAAGTTTCCATTCGCAATTCCATTTTATAATATTGGCCTTTGGTCTCCATTTGTAGGCCTAGTTCTCGGCCTGGCACTGTTTCTCGAATCAACCTTGGCCTAATAGCTCATGTTTCGGCTACGTTATTTTAGGACGTAGCTCAAGCTACAGTTCCTTTCCGTTGGAATAATTTAGCGTTAGCACAAAGGTAACCAAGGATCCTTCGGATTGTAATAAATGCCAGGCTAGGCATTGATTCGATTTCAACACGTCTGACCGTTTCGGATATCAGTCAGTAAGATATTAAAATTAGTAAAATTGTATGGTATATCAGCTGCAACAGGGGAGTGGAAGTGTTAATGTGCAATGTCACACCTGCTTATGACTTTGGGGCACAAAGGGTTAATTAGTATATTACATTCCCAGTTCATTGCATTAGGTTAGTCTTTTNTGACTTTGGGGCACAAAGGGTTAATTAGTATATTACATTCCCAGTTCATTGCATTAGGTTAGTCTTTTCTTCCTGAGTTGCTGTGATATGTTTCTTGTATTACCAGATGTTTTCAGCTCTGAAGAAGAAAGCAAAGCTTATGATTCATCATGCTGTAGTTTTCCTTGATGAAAATACCTGTGACATCTTCCCTCAACTTTGGGTTATTGATGACCAAACTTGTTGGTATCCCTGCAAATTGACAAAACCAAGGTCTTACTGCAATGCCTTGAGGCGACCAGACAAAATGGAGTTTTCCAAGTGCAGAATGGAGAAGTAGTACAGTTCTAGTGAGTATTTGTTTAAAACTTTGGTTAAGAGTCCAATTGTAACTTTTAAGACTGTGATGTGCAGAGTTTGGTAAACATATCCCTGTCCAAGTATCAAATTGCACAAAATTAGGTCTTTTTTGCAATTTATAATATGGTGTTATCATGGATGTTAAAGAAAATTCCATATCATATGCTCTTGGGTAAGTTCAGACTTGAAATTATCCTATTTCACTTAAGAAAGTCATGCATTTTCATAACCTGAAAATGCATTTTCCTGGAAAAAAAAATTGTAAATGAATCCCATGAATTGGTGCACCAGTTAGTGTTCTACCCTAAAAGAAAGCAATACTATATATACTGCCGTCCAAAAGTCTTTCAACACTTTTTCATGATTGAAATGCTCTGGACCTATAGCATCATCTAAAAGAAAAATTGGATATCCTTAGACAGCTTAATTTGTTATCTTTGCAAAGTACCCACATATGTCAGGATTTGTGCCATCATTTGTCAAAAATTTGCCTTGAATCTGTCTGGGATCTATTTTTTTAGCATGGAACAATTAAAATCCATCACCAACCGATTGTTGGAAAGCCAACTTCTCTTGCACGCCATGCGAGAATAATGTTTTTCCTGTGCACCTTAAGGAAAAGACTCCTGTCAGTGTCCTCTAAAACTCTTGTCAGTTTTTCATCATCTCAGAATCTCTGTACCTACGCTTGGTCACTACTCTGTTTGCAGGTTATGATTAATAGTCCTACTCACATCTGAGTAATTGATGCCAAGATGACAAGAAATGGCCAAACAGCTTCGAAAGGATGGGGGAACAATTCTCCAGTGTTCCGACTAAGACACCATGATTATTCCTCAGGCTTACCAGAAATAAGGATGGGGATAGGGTGATGTTTCTGTCATTGTACCAGAAGGAAGTTCTGAATCCAATTGTTTCCATGGAAATTTAGGGGATATGGTAGCTGAAATCCTGATGGTAATGGCTGCTTTGCACAGTTAAGAGAATAAGTTATTCCAAGGCCAATGTTTTCCCCTTGGTGCCATATGTACAGGGATTCCAAATGATGAAAAAACTGGCAAGAGTTTTAGTGGACACTTGATGGGAGTCTTTTAGTTAAAGTGCACAGAACAAACATGATTCTCAAATGGCATGCAAGAAGGAAATTAGGCTTTTCAACAACTAGTTGGGGACAGGTTTTTCAGTGCCATCATTTTGGACAAATGTTGGCACAGATTGTGATATGATTGGGTGCTTTGCTAAGGGAACAGATTAGGCTGACCGAGGACAAACCATTTTTTGCAGCTGATGCTATAAGTGCTGAGCATTTCGATCACAAAAAAGTGTTGCAAAACTTTTGGAAGGCAATGTATTTTTTAATTATGGTGTATGCTCATGTTTTTAATTTTTTAAATATCAATACAATAGAATTGTATTGTATTGCATATTATATTGTAGCAAACAAGGACCAGGTTTCTGCAAAGGTTAAGAAGCTCAAGAAGAGTAGTGATGTGGCTGATTATGAAAAAAGAAAGAGACCTCATTGTCTGGAGAGAGGAAGCCAAAAAAAGCATCTTTCTAAGCTACAACACGAGTCACCTATCTCATATCCACCTTCATCTGAACCTGAAGATGAAGATGATGGTGACTCGCTGAGCAGCTGTCACTGTTCTCCAATTGCATCAAAGCAGACGAGGAGTATCGAGAAGAATCAGTGAGTAATTTCTTCAATTTCCTTTTGTGCTTGCTGCTACTTCATCTCAAAACTCTGCTGAACAAGACTTAATTGCAGTGTGCAGCTCCTAACAGGCTCAAATTCCTGTTTCCTTCCTTTTGAGGTATGCTTTTTGAACTACAATCAAGCTTCTGCAATTGGAAACTAGATTCCCTCTCCATTCTCAACATAGTACAAGCCATTCTGAACATATAGGGCGATCCATATTTGGATACCACCCCAAAATAATAGGGGAAAATTAGTTGAGAGCACATTAGTTGAAAGCCCCTACCATCACTCTCAATACACTGATTAAATCTTTTAACACTCTCCTGTTGCACTAATCCAACATATCCAGTATGATTTGCTTACAACATCCAACTATGCGTAACCTCAGTTTATTGATATCTCATGGTTTTTATTAGTTTCACACTTGCTTGCAATAGACTTTTGAGGGCTGTTAAGCATGGTATCCTTTGGATGCTACACATTCTCCTCAGTTCTCATAGTTTTTACTGTTTTTCTTTGAATTGCCAATCGCACCTGTGTCACAGAATTAGCTTTTCAATTTGTGAATAGTTTTCCCTTGGAGTGGTGCACACCAAAATTTCTCCTGGAATAGGCATTGTGTGTATGCCATAGATCTGTGAATCTCCATGTTACCACTTCTCTATTCTTCAGTAAGATATTTACTATATTTCTTTTGTTGCAGATTGCTATTCTGGCATCTACTATCTGAAATATGGAAGGGAAGAAAGCAGTCTCAACTCTCATGCGTTGACTCATGGATGATGGCGCTGCCCTTCACTTTGTTTACAAGTCCACAAGACACAAGGAGAAGCAGGCCCTTACAGAACTGGGCATCTTTGACCTCATATCAAGTATGTTTATTGAAAATTCATGTGATCAGTGCAATTGGATTTCTCATTCCTT